ACGCAGCAGTCGGTAAGAGGTTGAGAGGAGCCGCTAGCACTGCAGCAGCCCAAGCTTGGCCTAGAGCGCAAAGCCGGGCGCGATCTTCTCACAACACCCAACTGTCTTCAGCAGTTCAGCAGATGCGGCAACTAGGAGGGGAAGTACCAGCACCTGCCTGGTCTGGCGCCTAAGCGCAGGGCGGAGGGCTCCGGGGGCTTTGGGGTCGGCTCACCTTGTCCTCTGGGTCCTTCACCTCCACGAACATGCCGAGCCCGGGGGTGGCCGGCTGGTACTCCTCCCGCTGCTTGTCATACAGCTGCGTCCGGTAGTTTCCTGGAGGGAAGTGGGGCGAGTCCAGGTCAGATGAGCGCGAGGTGGCGCGGAGTCGGCCCACGCCAGCACGCGGCGAGACCGGCTGCTCCCCTTTCTGGAAAAGGTGACTCTCCCGCACCCCCCGCCCCAAGACCAAGGTCTTGTTCCAAACTCTCCCCCTCCGCCCGCACCTATAACCATGGTCTCGTCCGGGATCTCCTCAATAAAGCACTTCTTTTCGGTCTCCCCGATGTGGAAGTAAAGCGCGCCTCCGCGGGCCACAAAACACAGAAGCAGCACGAGGGCCCGAATCACCCTTCCCAGTCCCCCTCCGGGCCGGGGCCCGACGACCCTCACGCCCTGCTCCGCAGCCATCTTGCTCCACCTGCCGGCGCAGTCGCAGCCCGCGGCGCCACGTAGCCCTGCCGCCGCTGCGGGGCCTGCCGGGACAGCGAGTTCGACTGCCTGGACTACAAGTCCCGAGATACCCCGCGGCCGCGGCGAGGCAGTACCCGATTGGGGAGCAGTTTACGCCTGCTTCCGAATTACCGCCCAAGAATTGAAACCTTTTTTTTTTTGTTAATCGCCCTGGCGGCGGGGCGACTACTAGTGTTTATAAAATTTTTACAGATGCTCCAAGTAACGCAGTTTGGTTGCGGTCGCAGTGAATAACGAGCAGATACAGGATTGAAACCGCGGATCCCTGACTTTCCTCGGGATTGCATCCGACACTCTGGGCTTTCTTCTATTTTTAAAAACTGAACTTTAAAAAGTGACACAAACAGTGCACCAACTTATTTTGGAAAAAAAAAATTAAAGTACAAAAACAACAACAACAAAAAGCTGAGGTCTCATTTTACCACGTCTTTGCCACCTGAAACCCATCCATTGGTAAATCTGGTCTACCCTGGTCTGTAGACCATTGGTAAATCTGGTCTACCCATCCACGCGAGTGTTGCTGCCGGAGCACTGCCCTGATGACTTCTCTCCGAAGGTGGTTCGGTGTCCCAGGGGCCCGCTAGTAAAGGAGTATTGGGGTCTTGGGCCAGGGTCGCCCCGTTTTGGAGGTCTCTGCGCGCAGTGTGAAATGAACAGAGGTCTGAGTCTGCCCTTCGTGTCCTTCCTGGATTTGATCCATAGTCTAGTGTATTGTGGCAGCAGTTTATGACTGTGTGCATCGTCAAGGTTTCATAGAAGTTGGAGGTTTTCTCTCTACTTCGGCTTCTCTTTGTTATTTCGTTTGGCCCTGTGGAGGGAAGTTTAATGACAATCTGTTGACATTTCCCCCTCATTGTAAGTCTTGATCTCCTTTTTCTTAACAGTAACAATATAATGTAATCTTTGCTCATACAGTACCTTATTTTTAAACCATTTCTCTGATGAAAGTGGTTAAGATTTCTTTTCCCCTACTATTTGCTCTTACATTTATTGCTGCAATAAATACTCTTGTTCATTTTCTAAAAGAGCATTATTATAGGACATAGTTTTTGATGAAGTCACAAAATTGCCCTTTCAAACTTCATGCCAATTACAGTCTCACCAGCAGTGTGTCCTAATGCTTATTTTCCACACTCTGGTCTAATGTTCTCAACCTTTTTTTTTTTTTTTTTTTAATGTTTATTTATTTTTGAGAGAGAGAGAGATCATGAACAGGAGAGGGGCAGAGAGAGAAAGGGAGAGAGAATCCCAAAGAGGCTCCACACTGTCAGCCTCCAACGCAGGGCTCCAACCCACCAATTTATTAGGTCATGACCCAAGCCCAAATCAAGAATCAGACGCTAAGCTGACTGAGCCAGCCAGGTGCCCCTGGTTGTGTTTTTCTTAATGCTATTATAACTACATGCTATTAGTGTTGATGTAACCATCACACAGAATTAACAAATGATTACAGAATTGATAAACAATAACATTTTATAATAACAGTTTCTAGTATTTGTAAAATTAAACTTTTTATGTTGAGATAACTATAGATTCACATGCAGTTGCAAGAAACAATGCAGAAAGATCCAGTGTACCAATTACCCAGTTTCCCCCATTGTAATATCTTGCCCAAGTATAATGCAATATCACAAACAAGACATTGACATTGATAGTCAAGACACAGAACATTTCCATCACCATAGGGATCCCTCATGTTGTGTGTTAAAGCCACACTCACTTCCCTATTCTTTCATCCTTTCCTTTTTTTTTTTTTAAAATGTTTATTTGTTTTTGAGAGAGGATGTGTGAGAGTGGGGTAGGGGCAGAGAGAGAGAGGGAGACAGAGGATCTGAAGTAGGTTCCTCACTAACAGCAGAGGGCCCTATGTGGGGCTTGAAATCACAAGGCATGAGATCATGACCTGAGCCAAAATCAGGAGTTGGACGCTCAACCAACAGAGCCACCCAGGTGCGCTCCTTGTTTTTTTTAATTTTTTTAATTTTTAAAATTTTTAGTTTTGGGAGAGAGAGAGAGAGAGTGCGTGGAGGAGTAGAGAGGGAGACAGAGGATCCAGAGCAAGCTTTGCATTGACAGCAGAGAGCCTGATGTGGGGCTCAAACTCAAGAACTGTGAGATCATGACCGGAGCTGAAGTCAGCCACTTAACCAACTGAACCATCCAGGCACCTCTTTTTCACCGTCTCCTTAACTTCAGACAACTGATCTGTGTTCTTCCTTTCTATAATTTTGTCATTTCAAGAATGTATAAATGGAATCATACAGTATATAACCTTTTACGGTTGGCTTTTTTCACTTAGTTAATTCTCTGGAGATTTAAGCAGTTTATTGCTTGTATCAACAATTATAGCAAAAAAAGTAACTACTACATACGATGTGTATACATATAATTTGTTTGATATCAGTCACAGGAAAGGGTGAGAACAGAGCTAGCTGTTAAAAGGAGCAGAGAGTTTTTGGGTGTTACTGAAGGTAAACTGGTATAAATTCAAATTGGAATGTTTTAACTTTTAGGATATTAAATGTAACCCCCATGGTAACCACAAAGAAAATAGCTGTAAAATATACACAGAAGAATGTGGGAAAGGAATTTACATGTTTAACTACTAATTTAGAGGAATTTAGGGACCCCTGGGTGGCTCAGTCGGCTAAGCGGCCAACTTCAGCTCAGGCCATGATCTCGCTGTCAGTGGGTTCGAGCCCCGCATCCGGCTTTGTGCTGACAGTTCAGAGCCTGGAGCCTGCTTCAGATTCTGTGTGTCTTTCTCTCCCTCTCTCTCTGCCCCTCCCCTGCTCATGCTCTCAAAAATAAATAAACATTTAAAAAATAAAAGCTTTATAGTTTTATACTTTATATATATTTTTTTTTAATTTTTTTTTCAACGTTTATTTATTTTTGGGACAGAGAGAGACAGAGCATGAACGGGGGAGGGGCAGAGAGAGAGGGAGACACAGAATCGGAAACAGGCTCCAGGCTCCGAGCCATCAGCCCAGAGCCTGACGCGGGGCTCGAACCCACGGACCGCGAGATCGTGACCTGGCTGAAGTTGGACGCTTAACCGACTGCGCCACCCAGGCGCCCCTATACTTTATATTTAAATCTATATTCTATTTTGAGTTCATTTTTTTATTTTATTTTATTTTTTTTAATTTTTTTTCAACGTTTT